CAAGTTTTCCTACTTAAAAAAATGGATGTCAGCGGTATAGATGACATAGAGTTAGGTTAAATATTTATATTGAATATTCAATATTAATACATAAACAAAACTCAACAAAAAAAAGCTATAAACAGCTGCTATAACAATATCATTCAACAAAAACAATGGACTACAAAGAAACAAAAAACTAAAATGTAAAATTCTCGTTGACTGAATGAGACAAGGCAAGAACGGCTTCATCTGGTTATATATGCACTGTTCACATATCAACAAAACAACAGGGCCTGTTCATAAACAGTCAAGAAAAGTACCAGATAACTTGCCATTTGAAACTACAGGGAGAGGTAGTATCCATCAAATACAAAGAAAAGATGTGACACACATTTCAAACATGAAAAAGTGAACTTGGTAGAATAAAACATGTTGTGCAATACAGATTTGTAATCAATATACTTAGCCGACAAATTCAATTGCACTTAGCACACAACCAAAATTGCTTGCTGAAAGTGGTCTGGAGAAATATGCAAGACACCACACAATACAGCCTGGGCAAATATGTGTTAAATTAATTTGTTACCATGGTTACATAGATACAAATGACGAAAAACATTTTACACCTGTATTTGTAAAGCTCTAAATTAAAAAACAAATAATGTAAACTAACCTCAATGATGCTGCAATATACAGTGATGTTTGGGAAAAATACAACGACCCTGCTCCACTGTAAAGTAATGATGACATCAGATGTAGAAACAAAAATGGTTATTTCACTATGAAGACAAAATTACCAAGCTCAAGATTGAAATATTAGAAAAGTAAAAAAAAGGAAGAAAACATTGTATTGCTGCAATTGTGGAGAAATTCATGTAAAGATGATGTTCACAGTTCACAGATCTATATCAGTAATGTCAATAAAAATTAATGTCAGTGAATTAAAATATATATCACTACCTCGGTCACCCACTCGGATCAGGTCTCCCTCTCATTATTCAGGTCATCTACTCAGATCAGGTCTCCCTCTCACTATTCAGGTCACCCACTCAGATCAGGTCTCCCTCTCACTATTCAGGTCACCCACTCAGATCAGGTCTCCCTCTCACTATTCAGGTCATCCACTCGGAACAGGTCTCCTTCTCACTATTCAGGTCACCCACTCAGATCAGGTCTCCCTCCCACTATTCAGGTCACCCACTCAGATCAGGTCTCCCTCTCACTATTCAGGTCATCCACTCGGAACAGGTCTCCCTCTCACTATTCAGGTCATCCACTCAGATCAGGTCTCCCTCTCACTATTCAGGTCACCCACTCAGATCAGGTCTCCCTCTCACTATTCAGGTCACCCACTTAGAACAGGTCTCCCTCTCACTATTCAGGTCACCCACTCAGATCAGGTCTCCCTCTCACTATTCAGGTCACCCACTCAGATCAGGTCTCCCTCTCACTATTCAGGTCACCCACTCAGATCAGGTCTCCCTCTCACTATTCAGGTCACCCACTCAGATCAGGTCTCCCTCTCACTATTCAGGTCACCCACTCAGATCAGGTCTCCCTCTCACTATTCAGGTCACCCACTCAGATCAGGTCTCCCTCTCATTATTCAGGTCACCCACTCAGATCAGGTCTCCCTCTCACTATTCAGGTCACCCACTTAGAACAGGTCTCCCTCTCACTATTCAGGTCACCCACTCAGATCAGGTCTCCCTCTCACTATTCAGATCACCAAATAAGATCAGGTCTCCCTCTCACTATTCAGGTCATCCATCCATTATTTTAGTAACTGATATATTCAGATCACTGACTCTAGGTAAACATTAGCGAAAGCAGCACTATTACATGTTTGCCAACATGACTATATACTTTGTTGTAATGTAGATAGTATCAACCTAACTGATGTGATTATTTTCATTTTTAATTAAGTATAAGTTAAGCACATCCCTTTGATAAACTATATGACATGTTTAACACAAGAAAATTCTTTAACTACATTAATTGGTAGTTAATTTTAAGCAGTGACCTTATTGGAATCTCTTGTCTATTTTCTGTAAAATAACTTGTTTTCTTCCTTAAAACAAGCAAGAGGTATATCTAATTCATTTGTCCAGACAAATTGACAACCCTATAAAATATGATAAAGCACAGACCGAAGTCAGCAACGATTATTTTCTGGTCAATAAGTATGGTAAACAACTGTCAATCTGTTGTGAAGGAAATAAGAGAGATTTTTTTAAGTAGGAAGAAGTGATAAAGAAGAAAAAACTGTGACAGCTACAATTCATAAAGTCTGGTTGGACAGCCATAACACAGCTTCAGATCTACATATCACAGTCAGTCTGTAATAAATGATAATGAAAAAACCCATCCTTATAAAGCTGATACTTCATTTCATCATTGTTAATCAAGTGTGTATTTCTATGTTGGGGTGTATAAATTTGTATGTTGCAATCCTGTTATCTTAGCTAAGGATACATCAGCTGAACAAATCTTCACATGTATTTTTACAGAAAGATTAACAAATTTATAGTTTATCATCTGCTTAGTCATTATCGAGTCTTATTTACATTACAAGAGAAAAACAAAATCTAAAGGCTCTTGAAAAGAAAAGAAATGTTTTCAAATCTGTTATTAACAATCTATGAATTACCAGTATGTGAGTGATTTGCATAGAATATAAGATAAAGAAGATTACACAGCATTCGTGTGTTAAGTTGTTAATGAAAATGTAAATATGTAGGATGCAATTAACAAGAGTAACATATACAAACAAAAATGTAAAGATAGAATATCAGTGTGTAGCAGTCATGATCTGATGACAAAAATATCTAATGTTAAGGACAACTGTATCAAATTAAACTGTTATTTGATATTTATCAAAGATGACCATCCCCCCCCCCTTCAGGTCATTCAATTTTTGCAAACCAAAGGACTATTTAGTCTGCATGGTGTTCAGTGCTTTCTGTGAATACATCAATGGTTCAGATTAACCCTTTAAATCTTGGTTAATGGAATAAATCAAGATTTTGACCAATTTGACCCCTGTTCAGACCATTTTCTTCTCTAAAACTTTGTTTAGGTTCATTCAATGAACCTTCTATCAAAAAAAAAAAATTTAATACACATTGTAACCCTGAATATGAGATAAGGTAATTTCTTTCTACAAGCCTTCAAGCAGAACATAATGATTTTAGGCCTTTTGGGTGTTTAGAAGTTGTGTAAAAGGAAAACTTATAATGCCTGATGGATGAATGGATAACAAATGCCGCACCACTGAATAAGCTAACTTGGTACTTTGGGCTGGGTAAACTAACAAGTGATATATAACGAAAAGGAAATCATGTTTCTAAAATTACAAAATGATACTGCTTTATAAGATAATAGTTGTAACACCTACAATGTCCTTTGTGCGTAGTAATTCACAGAAAAAATGGTAAAGGATTATTTCAACAAGCCTTTAAAGTTGAAACGTAAGTTGGGCCGAAAGAATAATGCAGGTAGATGATTTAGATAAGTAAAAGCAATCTCCATAGACTCCAAAGTAAATGCAGAAGATATATAATTTGGCACATGTATAGACCATTTACATCCTTTCCTATTACTTACAACTTGTAACCTTACAAACATCGTACTAGCTTGTACATATATATATATATAGATATTGCAGCCATTTATCACCAATATCACAAGCATTACATACATTTGCAGAGAAAAATACCAATGAAGCAGCAAATCTAACATTTCTGATGAAAAAATTTACCGAATTAATATATAGACATGAGACTAGAAAGAGTACATACTATACATGTATCAGCAAAACATCACCTGTCAAAACAATAAAAAATAAAGATTATTTATTTTGTAGGATTTTTCTGTTTTGTTTTGTTTTATTGTTGTAAGCAATTTATTCTTCTAGAATTTACATGTATGCTGTGCCTAGGACAGATAATGCGAAGGATATAATATTTGGCCACTATATTAGCACTACTAAAGTAAGGGCTGAGTAAAATATGACATTCCCAATATTCTGTGTGTTACTTGGATATGAGGTAAGATGGGTGTTGAATTATATCTTGTAGATAACAAAGAGTGCATGAAGCAGTCAGGAGCACTAGTACTGGGTGAGGGCTTTTTTATATAGCAAATACAGCACTTTTAAAATGATAGTGACAAAGGATCACATATGGGTTTCCCAGGTACATCACAGATACTTTTCTCTTCATACAACATATCGATAAATGTATATATCTTATTAACATATATGAGACATATATTAATTAAAAATCATACAACAGGTTAAAGAAGTAATATCACAGAAAGTTTTGTCAGTTTTTCTTCACTGGCAATATGTCAAGCATAAACCATTATCTCTGTTTTAGAAATTCAGATCGTCTTGGAAATTTTCCAAAAAAATTCTCATGATTATTGTCACAAGAAAGCAATAGAATAGTTGCAAAGTCGTACAAAAAAACACTCATATTAACAAAAGTCTACCAATGAAACAGTTACCACCAAACTGAGAAAAAATGACATATTATTATAGATTTGTAGACCTAACACAAACAGGACACCTGTCTTAAGATAACAGAAACATAACAATTTCTGTAACAAAATTTCATTTAACAAAGTTGTGAGAGGTTTATAAGTCAATATTCCTATTCATATTCATCTTATAAGCAGACAATATCACACATGTACTTTATATAGTCAAACAAGTGCATTTCTAAAAAGTGAGTCAGTATTCTTTTTTCTAAATGTCAAATAAAATAAGTTTCTCTTCAAAAATAGAGAAAATCACAGTCATTCAGATAATCTGGTATGTCAGATTTCCTTCTACAGTACGTCAGTCTTAAAACTTTTGAATTCACATTTCTGTAGAAAACAAGAAACGCATATCTCAGGATATTCTGACATTTGGAGCTTCCTGAAAAGTCTTAATTTCTGGAAACTTCAAGCCCTTGGAACCTTTCTTCAGCACCATTTGTATCCACACCACTACAATAAGTGAAAGGTCGTTTTCATCGAGGTAGACTAAAGCCATGCACAGCGATATCTCCCTTTCTGTAGCTTGTTATCGTTGGTACATGATTCTTAGACTTGCTCTGTGGAGTACTTCCTCCCGAGGAATCACCTAGAATATATATATATATATATCAATGAATATTCTGAGTAGATCATGAAAAATATGCTTCATTTTACAGTTAGGTGTGTACAAATCATTCAAATACTTTCTGTATCAAATACAAACACCTGAGTCCCTTCCATCAAATGTTTACATAATGGTGCATTCATATATAAATGAGTGGAACTACAGAATGAAGAATTTGTAAAATAAAGTTTTTTTTTTTAAACAAATTTACCTTTCTGTCCCCTTTTTGTTCTTCCATAGATATCAACTACAACAAACAAAGGTACATCGTGACTATCAAAATCTAACATATTTGTATCCACACTTTTTCTCTGGGATGTAAATGTTTCTGTTATCTTAATAATGAAATCAGGTAGAAATAGCATGAAAAAGCAGATGGACTCCATGATAATAAGTCTTCATGAATGAAACTGATATTGGTAGTATTACAATGCTTAACATAAATACAATCTTATCTCAACTACAAAAGCAAATAGTTTAACATTTACCTCCATGTCGGCCTCGGCCAGCATTCATTTTTGCATACTGAAGATAAACAAGAATATATATTAAATTTCAATTTCAATGGTAGAAACAAACATAGAATACAGTAATAGGCAGAAAGGACTCTCCCACTCCTTTGCTTCAACACTAATCTAAGATCAAACCATTAGCTCAAATAAGAAGGAATCACCTGACCTGTTCAAACAGAATAATGACCAACAGGTTTCCTATATTTTTTATTTAGCTTTCTGATTTTCTATCTTTATTCTAAATTTGAGGCATAAACTGATACCTGTGAACTGTAGCTGTTGTCATATCCACGCGTCCGCCGATTACGTTTTAAGTCTGACTCCTTTGAAACTTTTCTTCCACCTCTAATTGGTGGCAAGTTACTATTGTCAGTGTTTGCACTCTGTTTGGTAGCATTGGACAAGTTGTCCTCACTTGGAGGTTTGTGAATTGATGGTAGAACAACATCATCATAGCTTTGGTTATGTCTGGCAAGTGTTCGAGGTGATAAGTATGCATCGTCATTTGAAGGTCGATATAGTGACCTTGGCTCTCCATACTGCCGTTCTATGTTAAGAAGGTTGTTCTGGGCTTTGGATCGTTTCTTTGCAGCCAGGGCAGCAATATTGCGTGTGTTACTGGTTATTGTTGTGCGATCATCACTGTACAAATTGACCGCCATGGGCTGTGGGCTGTTATGTCGAGAAGAATGTGGAGAACGCGGAGTGCGAGGAGTACCATTTAGATGCAAGTTATCTCCCCAATTCACAGATAAATTGTCATCCCTCAAGCGTTGGGCTTTAGCACTCCTCGAAAACAACTTTTCTCCTTCTCTGAAAATTTAAAACATTTTCCTTATTTGAAAATTACTAAAAAGCATAAGCAAATATGATAAAACACAAGTCAAATTTCACAAAATAAATACCATAACCCCTGAAATATTTAATTCAAATTTGATGAAATCATGATGTGAAAGAATATACCGGTAACAGCAAACAATTGGAATAGTTTCTCTTCTTCTAAGAGAAACCATGATACATTGCAGACTAAATATTAGATAAGAAGGGATTTTATCACAGGGGACATAACTCCAACAAAGTTATAACATGTAATAATAATATTGCTGGACAGTGTTTCACAAGAAAGACACAGGAGTATTTAAGGTGCATACCCAAACCTGGGTGTAAGTCTGGCATCCTCTTCCTCTAGAGTGCTGAGCTGGTCACCTTCATCTGCAATAAATGATCGGTTGATACGACCTCCTCCTCCAATCTGTAAATAAGGTTAAGTCAATGTTAATTTACATTTGTCAAGAGATTAATATGTCTCCTATAGTGGACAGTTAATGCTGGTTCTGACTGGAACATTAAATTTATCTGAATCTCAATAAAGTAATAGTCAGGGAGGAAAATACCAAGGCAGAACCCTCTACATGTAGTAATGTTAGAAGCACTAAAGGAGTGGTCAGCTGGTCGTTTCAAACTATCACTATGTGGTACGTTTATGGAGATCAGTTATCATATTGTAATGTTAAGGTTTCAGTATTTAAGGAATTCATGATTCCCCTACTATATACCTAGAGTTACCTACCTTAAGATACTCTGGACTGAGACCTGAATCTTCATCTGTCAGCAGTAACCTGTCATCCAGCTCCAGCTTGTAAAGATCATATAGTTCCTCCAGGTCCTTAGGTGTTGCTATGTTCTTTTCTGAACATCAAAAACATAAACAGTTGAATTATCTCATACAATGAAATTAAAACGATTAATACATATTTCGCCGAAGTGTCCAACAGGAATCAAACATTCTTTCCAGCATATTAATCCAAAGGTCTTTTTTAACTCAATCATGCATATTTGTCAGTGTCAAAGACAGTGTTTGGCACTTTATGTATCTCCTTATTGCTGATCAAATCCTAAGTTCTAGAGCATCACATCTTTCTTGAAGGGTTCAGGAAAATGTGTATTATTCAATGAGTAATAAATCATAAATTTAAATGTTTTCATCAAAGTATGTCAAGACATTTCTATTTGCATGCTGTCTTGGCATTCGTTATATTTACCTGCCAGAAGTACCCGCTGTCGTTTGATAATCTGATCAGTAAGATTCTGGTGTTGTCTGAACCTTGACAAAACCATGTCTTTTTTCTTGATCTGGAACTCCCTCAGCAGACAGGCAGACTGAACCTCTGTGTTTTCTATCTCTAACACATGTACCTTGTACAATAGACTGAGAATCTCACGCTGGTCCTCTCCATTGATACGTTGAGGAATAGTCTGTTAAACACACAAGGTACATAATGTATCACTGTGAATCTAGATTGGTCACACAGTCGGATTATTAAAACAATTCTACAAACAGGCAAACTATTTCTGTTACAGTGATTTTTTGTATATGTGTATATATTCAAATGTTCTTCAAACTTTTGAGAATGTGAAAATTTTCTCAATAACAATGATTTAAAATGATCTGACTGTATGCATTTGCATGTAAATATTTTCATATTTAATGCGTACATTTTAAAAAGACTAACATTTCCACATTAATATGATTGACACTAACACAGTCAATAATGTGTCTCCTAAATGAATGGCTATGATGGGCCACTTTCATGAATCTTCTTCAAAGGAAATCTTAACTTCCATAGAAACTAACATTTATTGCCTTTCTATGACATTAAGATTTTTCTTAGCTTACCAGAGATTGTATGAAACTGGGCAACGATGAACTAATATGGTTGTATATGAGTATTGGTCAACTGTACACAATATTACTCTCATGGTAAAGACTTTGATTGAGAATATACAAAGTCCTCTAGATAAATGAAGTTTCACCACATTATTTTGATGGTCTATGACTTTCTGTTATATTTAGACAAAATACTTAGATGATATAGCTATCCTTCCCAGAAGTACATAGTCTCACCTCCTGAAGCCGAGTTGTCTTTAACTTAGCAGTGTCTAACTCCTTTTGAACAGTTCCTCTGATCTTTTCTGTGCGATGTTTCTCATCATGGAGGACCTTTAGTTCCTCCCGAGCCATGCGTACTTCATCAGGTTCTAAAACATCATCTGAACCTAGCCCTGCCAGTTCTAGTGTCTTTGTGTCCTCTGTTGATAATAAGAAAAACTAGCATTGGCCTTAGCTAACATCACTAATGAACAACTATTAAGTACAGAATTTGTGTCTTTACAACATAGTAAATAACACATTTACCTCAAAGGTCTGTTTAACCTACAAAATAGTTTTAAAAGATGTGGAATTTCTGTTCCAAGTTTAACAGTTATCAGAATAAGATGAAGGTGAGGTATTAATACAAGAGCAGTATTCAGCAGAAAAACTTATAGGATAATACCAGGTGCGGAGGGGTTGTAAATATGAAAGTTTTACATAGTAGAAAATTTGCCATTGTAAGCATATCTTTATCATAAATTGCTGGAATACTGATTTAAACATATTTTGCACTAACTTAGATATTTCACACATCACATCTCATTGTAAAACAAGATAAGGTTCCTCAGCAGAATTTTTGATGGCAAAATATAATGAGGTACTATGTGACATTGCTGGATATCATATATCTGTCTCAGTTTGAAAGCGGTGCTAACCTCTATACATGTCCTCTCCACCTTCTCGCCTTGGTAATTTAGCTTTTTCAACATCCCATCTGAAAAAACATGTGTTGAAAACTGTGTTACTCACCCTATGCATACAGGTTAATATTCAGCAACAACTTCAATGTTTGCTAAACTTAAATACAACTCTTTCCAAATTTTCGGCATCTTGACTATTGTCAGCATTGAAAAATATTACAATCCATACTATTGTATGAACTCTTTGTATCAATACACTTTTCCTCAGAGAAGTTTACCTTGTAGATCAATAATTTTATACTTACTCGCTAATGATCAGCTGGTTACGATTTGTTTCTAAGCTTATTTCCATTGAGGCATTATTGAGTTCCATTAAACTTTTCCTGAAACAAAAAAGACAATTCAAATATCAAAACTGCTGGTTAAGATAAGTTGTACATGTACCATATATATAGTCATCTTACAGCAAGACGTACATTTCATTGATGAAAACAACACCATGACTGTTAAAATTTATATAAGATAGGAGGTACAGTATATTATGATAGGGGATGTGAGACAGTAGAAGAGAAATGACTTCAGAAATGTATATGTACTATTAATTAAAACTGTAAGGAAAATGTTTTTGCTGAAATAGTTATATTTGTACCAGCTCAACTACTTAATGATTAAAAAAACGCTGAAATATTGGGGTATTTTGATGGAAACAAGACAATTTCTTTGACTGCTGGTTTAATAATAGGACATGGATATAATTGTACCTCAGCTCCATCTGATCCTTGAATGAGATGAGGAGTTGCTCCTTAACTTTGTTGAGTTGTTCTCGAGCTTCTCCATGTTGTGTGGACAGGACCTCAGCTGTGAAAAGTGAACAGTTCAAAGGTCAGATTCCTGAGAAACTGATGATAGAGGTTGATGACAATATTGCTCTTTCAAGACAGAGAGTTAGAAATATAGATAACTTACATACAAGGCCATAGGTGAAGATCACATGTCATGTTCATTCAGTTCTCCCTAAATATACTACACTCACCCTGAACTGTTTTTATTTTTGCACCACTAACAGGTCCACTCTCGACAGTATCCTGAAGCCGCACCCGTAGTCGATTGATTTCCTCCCTCAGTTCTTGAATGATGTTAGTGTACTGGGCTATGTGGTAGGATACGTCAGCCACATTTCTCCGTACCTTTGAAATAATTCCAGATAAGTTACATATATTTCAGTCAGTCCATATCCCCTCACAAACTTGGGTATCAAACTTTACAAAGGGCCATAACTGTGCATATAATGATGTCCAAGACCCAAGTTTTTGTCTTCAAATTTTTCCACAGCAAAATCTGTTATTCATTGGTAATGCTTGAATAAAAGATATGCTCCCAACTAAGTGACACAATGAAATTGGTGTGTTGAAACTTCTCTTTCATCCACAGACCTCACTCTGTCACTTGAGTACAAACTATTGATTTTTCCTAACTCTAAACAAACCTATGTTAGTTGTTATTTTACCGCTTTTTCGCTGAAGTTGTGGTGCTAAATAGGATTGTGCTGATTGCAGTTTCTATGTACATTTAAATAAGAATCAATGTGAAAGTGTGAATTCCTCAAAATTTATATTGTGTTAAAGTTTTATTGCAGCAAAGTAAGCAGGTTTACAGTAGCAATATTCTATAATGCAATATCAGTACTATCACAAGACACAGCATAAATCTGTGTGGATGAGAGTTGTCTACCCCTGTTTTTACGTGTTTGACTTCTTCAGTTTACATACATATGTATATCCAACAGGAGTTGCCTACCTTTGTTCTGATATGTTTGGCTCTGTCTGCATATATGAGGGTGTTGCGAGATTCCTCAAAGTGTAACGAGGCAGGGCTGATGTGGGCTATCATCACGGTCTTACAGTTGCCACCCAATGCATCCTTCAGCAGTCTTGTCAACTTGCTGTCTCGGAAGTTTACATATTTTGGTCCATTCTTGTCACCTTAACAAAGAACAGCAGTTTCAGTTGTGCCCATTTTCACTCTTGTAGGACCACTAATCAAATTCTTTTTATAATAAATAGAAAAACACTCTCATCTAACATGCTAATCCAATATGAGGTTTGTGTCAGAATAAGTAAACTAATAGCCCTTAACCAGTGGTTTACTAAAGTGATTTTTTTTCACTTTTTTTTGTATAATGGACAATAAAAGAGTTTCCAAAGTTGCTTAAGGTAGCTTAAGAGTATAAAGCAGATACAAATTTAAAATTAACTTACTGAGGGCATTTATACAGTTGCCGAGAGCAAGTAGAGAGCGGTTGATGTGGGCTCCCTCTACCATACGTTTGCCTCTATTGTGTGTTGCGGCAGCACGTTCTGAACCTGCCAAATCTACCATAAAGAGCTTGCCCATGCGCACTTCATGGCTGGTATTGCGTACACGGTTCTGTTGTTTAACCAAAACCTGTAAGACAGCATGGGAGCGTGAAGATGTCTTGTTGGCTGCTGTAGGCTCCTGTGTCCTCTCTTTGTTTCCCATCAATAGCATTTCCATCACCTGTAGTCACACAAATACTATATTTCAAATAGGGAAAGCATTTTAGAGTTGTTGATATTGTTGAAAATCTATTTTGATCTCATGCAAATTGTCAAGTTTATTCCTAACATGATTTATGATATTTTCCCATTGACTAAAGAAACTGACTTTTATTCACAGGCGATATCATACTAATAGCCATCAACTCATACATTCTCTATCATATTTCATGTAAACATTTAACAGCAGAAATATTTTGAGACCACTGCCATGAACTGACCTCACTAGTTGTGTGAGTGGTCACTTCAGACAGTCCAGCCACCTGGACGCCACCCTTCGCATCTTCTCTCAGGTCAAGGATGCCTGATGACGGACTCAGCAAATCACGAATCATCTCATTATAGATCTGAAACATAGGAATTCTTCTCTGAGAAATATGTCAATTAACACTGAGAACTTATTTTCACCTTTTACTTTCAGTTTTATGGCTGATAATTTATTTTCACATGTTACCTTCAACCTTTATGCCAAGAACTTATTTTCATCTTTTACCTTTAACCTTAGGGCTGAAAACTTTTTTCCACCTTCAACCTTAAGGCTGAAGTCTGACTAAAGCGTGACTTTTCCTATCAGAACCTCATCATTAGAATTCCTACAAAAAGAAGTGCCCTGAACTACCACTAAAGAAAGCAGTAATATGGAATATCAGATTCAACATATTTGCCATGACCTCCAAGTCCTTGTTTCAAATTCACCTGAGACCTCTGCAGAGACCTGCAGTAACTTTCAAAGAGTACACATCAAATGTGTTGCAGTGTCTATGTTTTCTGAAGCCTTTTATTCATTTAATGCTTACTATTAAATACCATTTGCTTGACCGAGTTACTGAAGCAATTATCTGATAGAAACTGCCCTAAAGACATACAAAATGTAATAACTAATATATATTGATCATACAGAGATAAATTATTCTAACATTCTAACATAAACTTAACAAAACCCAAAGGCCACAACATTTTGCATTATCAATACTAAGTATATCGGAAGTTTTCTGTCGACATTTACAAAACAATTGTGTAATATTGTTACAGGTAATAGACAATTAATTTTAAGTAAATCATGTGTACTTTATCTGTGGTATTTATGTGGTAATTAACTACTGGCTGTGTTCACTTTGGTTGAAGCTGTTTACAATCTCAATTCAATTTCAGGTCACTGTCACAGATTTTAAGCTTGATCACAATCTTTGCCTTCATGTACTGGTGTTATTAATCAGAATAAGATTTAGATATCAATTATTACACAATGATATTATGGAAACATGCATAGTACATCACATCATCTGAAAATTTGATGAGACCAATATGTATGTACATAAGACATGTAACCAAACTAATCATGTTGTGATGTTTGATGGGAAAAAACATTCTTTTGAATATATAGACAGCATTCACTGTTGTATAATTAACACAACTTTGATCCATGTATATCCTAACAAAATTCCCAGGAGATCGATCTCGTGTCTTATAGTGCCTCTACATCTGACATGTAGGCCTGTGAACTCTTTACTTATCGAAGATTGTTGGAGGATACTGGGATATATATATATAATGGATATATGAGGTATTACCTGTCACAAGACTTCCCACATCAATAAACAACAAGTTCCTGTGCTGTTGTGATTGACAGTGCATTTATTGGTTACACTTGTGACCTTATTGAGAGCATGGTATATTTTATCCAGCAATCAACTCCTGTCTGATATAGTAAGTCAATAGTCAGTTTGGTATGATTAACTGTGATATACCAATGTTACAATATCCTATAAAGCCCATCCCCTGCATTCCCTGACTTTGAAGGAAATAGGTGATATATTTATTATTTCATGGATTTATTGCAGGAAACACAAAGTATAGTCATTTAATCTGTTACACCCTTTTGTATTGTGTATGATGGACATACAGGCATATTGGAAATAGATTAATGGGCATTTCTACATTAGTGAAGTAAAATGTAAGTTCAGGTCCATCTTTCATTAATCAGAAACATCTTACAGTAATCTGTAAAACAGTGATGATGTTCTAAAGAAAGTGCGTGGCAAAATATATGCATTTACCCTGCAACAAGTAGATTGATTTCATTTTGGCATTTGAAAAGAGGAATATTGGAAAGCTAAAGTTCCAGCTTCCACATTCAGGTAATGTCAGTTTATAAGTCAAAACACCAGTGTTTACCTATCACATGCTCAATCAGGGAACAAAAACTGGAATTTAGTCTATAAAATTGTACTATTTTTCAGACTAACACACTGCTGATACAGGACTAATTCCCTGGATGGAGAGTTTGTGGCAAAAGTAGGATCTAGCATACCTAATTAATTGTTGCTATGAAATATCAAAAACAAAATTAGAAATACACATCAATCTATATATGTACACCAGGGAAAGATCAGGTCTGTAGATATGTAGGTATCATGACTACCACGGGTATTAGGTTATACTTGCCATACAAGATTTATGGAAAATCTATGAGAACTGATGACTTTGTCCATATCTATGTATAAACAAAGCTCTAATGACATTTCACCACACACCAGCCACAGAGACACCCAGAAACAACCTTACCTATCAAAACAACTAGAATGTTCATTGCAATAATATCAGCATGTCAATCATTATTTTTCCCTTGTGTTATGATCTTAAGATTATTTTTCCGAGTCCTGTTGGTCCATGTCATGCTATATTTATACCTTTAATATACCAATGCAATACATATTCCTTGAATATTAATGAGTAAACACGATACTAGTCAACTATAATCAATCATGTGAACTCAAGCATGGCATCTAATTAAGTGTCAAGTGAAGAGGATTATTAAAAGTTCTAGTGTTGCAATTTGCTTTCCACATTTCCTTGGAATATTCTAGACATGTTTACATTATTTTACCTTTATGCCTTAACCAATAACCACTTAATTCTACCTTATAAACCAGAACACCTTTACATTTTCGGGAGGAGGAAATTTGGAAAAGTAGGTCGGGCTGGAAGTCATCTTTTCCACAGAATTATACTTTACTGGTTACAAAACTGTGGACATATGTCTGAGGATAATTAAAAAAAACACAAAGTGTTTCAGACAAATTTGGTACAATGAAAAAGGTGCACTTGTCCTGGTTTAGAAGTAGTGTTATAAAACCAGCTCTGTCACACAGCATTCGTTTTCAGCTAAGTTTACATAGCTCTAGCTTATCGGACATGAATTTCAAATTTGTGTTCCTCTGTGTTTAATGTTCAGGAAGTTCAGAGAACCAGATCAACTGAGAGGAATTATTAAAAACTTTTTTAACCAGAGAAGAAATGAATGTCAGACATATTGGATGGAGGATATTTTGGGAGATTCTATTTGTTGAGAGAATTAAACTTAAAGAAAACATGTAATTAGTTCGGGAAATGCAAGTTGACAAAATGTTTGAATACTAGGAGTTTAATTGGTTGTTAGATTGAAGAAAGTAGTTTTATTTTTACCTCAAGGTAGGACATGGAGACTTTGTAGACCATATCCTCCCTGGTTCGCTCCATCTCCTGGAATAGCACGTTGAGAGACATCGCCATTATGCCAGGGTTGTCATTGTTTCCCAACATAGTGTAGGTTTTCCCTGCACCTGTATTAGGTTGATATATATACATTACATTAACTGTTCAATTTTACATCAAATGGCATTCAAAATTATTATATACTTCATGTGAATGTACATAACAGGAGGTCCTTTTAAGTTGGAACTAAAATAATGCGAATTTTTACAGTCTCGTTTCATTGAAAGTTAAAACATGAGCAAATTACAAGAAATCATGGTTTAAACATTTCATGGCTGGTCGCATCCTTTAGCTTCAGGTTGTAATGATTTGAAAATACATAAAAGTTTTCTCGATTACAACTGAGATATGGCTACAGCTGGCTGTATGTAGACAGAACCATCTATTTAGATCACTTTCTGAATCATGACTGATAATGAAAAAATCCTTTTTCAAAAATGTTCACAATAAAGATTTCTAAGAGAATTCAGTACTCATATTGACTAAATTAACCTTCATCATTTGTTTAGTACATGCAGTTGGGACTTGATCTTGCCTTTATTGTGACGTACCTGTAGCACCGTAAGCAAAAACAGTGGCATTATATCCTGACACAACACTAGGTATAAGGAAACTTGCCGTTGACTTAAAGACTTCCTCCTGTAAAATAAATAATCAAAATAACAAGTTATTTGTGAGAAATGAGTTACAAAATACCTACCTGGATGACATGGAGCCATTTGTAATGTTTCATCCGTTCCCTACAGTGTAATCCTGATTCACACATTATATGTCTGGCTATGTCATTCTTAATGGCCTTTAGACAATAGTCATATCAAGTTATTGGATTAGTTTCTATTACTTAAGACTTTAAGAAAAAGAAGAAAACCCTATTTGTTTCCTTTTAAGATAGGCAAAGTTTAATCCAAAAGATATCAACAGGTTTCTAAACTCAATATCCTGCATTCTTCTTGGTATGAAGATGAACAGCAAAGGACCAAACTATTCAAACAGTAAAGAAAACCCCAGCATTTGCTCTACCTTAGCCTTGTTCAAAAGGGGTATCAGTCATGCAGTGCAATTTCATTTGTTATAAGGCCAAAGTAGTGTTACTGCAAGTATGCCTTGCATAACTTATGACATATAGCATTGCATTTATCCATAGCTAAACTATGTGATGAAAATATTTTCTCCGTTTACATGCTGTCTATCACAAGTTTATCATTGCTTAGGTCCTCTTTACAGCTAGCGTCATTTAAGGATGCACAACTTTTTGGTGGTGGAGGAAAGCCGTAGTTCCCAAAGAAAAACCGCTGACAAATGGCCAGTATTTAGCAACTTCCCCATGTAGGTCTTAAACCCATAACCCAGAGGTGGAAGGGAAGTGATAAAGGCAGTCAGACACCTTAAACACTCAACCACCGAGGCCCCCTCTGACAAATAACTGCCAAATTACCAGAGATAATACAATTACAACTAAGTAAGTTGTTGTCACCTCATACTGCTTCTAAGCTTACTTCTTTAATGTAAAACTTAAATATCAGTATATAAGTTTTATATATATAATGTCGATGGCGAGTACAGAATAGAAATCACTTTTTCAGGAAGTTTATTTATACAGGTGAATCCCAATTCTTTTATGTTCTCACATGATTTATCAACAAATCTATTATAATGAATCTTTAAAGCCAGTTTAAGGAATGGCCCAACTAGTAATGTCAAGTCAACCTGAACACATCTTAGTTTATATGTTGTATAATACATGGCTCGTCTGCTGATTAGGTTTTATATAGCTGACAATGTCATAAGATACTTTCTTACAGCACTGGTGTGAAAATGATAAATTAAGTTCTATGTCATAGGTACACAATGTATAGCAGGCACTTAATCTTCTCCACAAAACCAACTTACTGAAAGATGCTTCCTCACTGAATATATTATTGACTGTCTGATCATTCAGAAAAGTCTGGTTTTAATAAGTCATTAAGTCACAAACTCAGTCATTGTTTCTTCAAATTTTTAAATTTAGTTTTCAGCAACAAAATTGCAGTTATATTTTTTTCTTTGAATACATCCATACAAAATAGTACTTTCACTAAAAAGATACCAGTTATTAGAAGCTTGATATTCACTCCCAATCAAAACTATACCATTACTCTGAGATGGAGCAACACTAGGATATCTCTTATTGTGTTACACACTACTGTATATGAATTGCAGTATTAGCACTTTGTAATTTGAAACAGTCATTTAAATCATTTATATGTTGAACATAAGCTATTTTTATATTTTGGATCTGATTTCCAGAAAATATATGTACGTGTCCATTTCAAGCTTTACTGCTAAACTAATCACTTTTAAAAAAGGTCTTTTTTGAATGAATTCCAAACACAATTTGATATATCATCATAATTTGCAGTGTTTAAATGGCACACACCAATACATTACTATCAATATGTGTCATCTCTCTTCACCAATTACTCAGCACATTTTTGTAGTTTTTTAAGCTTCCTTTGGAAGGAACCCCAAATCTAAAATTGAATATGTATGTGTGTTTGCATTCATGTAAACATATATTTGTAAATGTAACCCAAAGAAACAGGTCTTTAATTAGTTCCTCTCAGAGACCTCATCCAAAACATAGCATGTCTCATTGTCTATCATTTATATTTACATAATTTCTAGGATATTTCAAAATTGGTGTCTTTTTCTTACAAGTGATGACCATCTTGTTATGTACTAAATCTTGTAATTACCAAGCATTATTACAAAGTTCAAAAATTAAATTCACTTTTAATTTCTAAAGTAAAATCCACATTGGATTTAAATGATTGGCACCAATTGTACCAAGACTGGTAATGTTATCTGACAAGTTGATCAGAACCTCTGTAATAATGTCAAGTAAATAGACAAGTTGTATGATCAAGCCCTGAACATGCACAAGGATGTCCAGCAAATAAGGACTGTACCAATAAATTGTCTACAATTACCAAGAATCCAGGATCCAATATTATATATAATATACCAGAAGCTTTTTAAAAAGATAGAGTTTTAGTCGAGGAAATTAGGACTGCACCAATAAATTGTCTACAATTACCAAGAATCCAGGATCCAGTAATAAGGTAATTACCAGAAGCTTTTCAAAAAGATAGAGTTTTAGTTAAATGCCATAAACCAATACCAATGAACTCAATCACCTGATATCAGGCATTGGCTTATATCCAAAACATGTGCCTTTATCTAATTCTGATCGAAGAATCTATTGATAGCGAATCATTAATTATAACTTTATGTTCAACGTCCTCGACAAAAAATTTGAATTCAGAGTGTTCAGTTTGGAAGACTTTCTTTAATTCTTTTTTAAATATTCAAAATGTATCATTTTGCCATGTTAGCCGTTTTAAATTCCATGACAAAGCAAAATGTTTTTGAACAGGTCATGTACAAGATATTGACAAAAACCACAAACACAGATGGATTTCCATATAAAGTCTACCATTATCTTACACACATTACGACTGGTACCTGCAAAGTAATGCTCTGTTACACATACTTAACTAAAACACACTGGGCCTTGGGTGGCCTTGATGTACATATATTTACCTAATTGTCAAACAGTGATTGTCTTTTTAAGTATAAGATCTGTAATTTATTACAAAGGATATGCTTTGCCAGAATGAACCGGACACTATTATTGCGGTATAAAGAGGCTTTGATACAATGTTACAGTTCCATTCTATCAGTACATGGCTGTTTATAAGATGACAAGATTGGTTATAAGCCTCTCCTTATAACATTGTTGACCTATTAGAGTGGAGGACTCAGAGACACACAACATGCAAGAATACTGAACCCATTGGAGATTGGGTTAAAATGTAGACTGGAACAATGCTGGGGTATTTGTTGTATTGTTTAAAATAATGCATACAATATATCACAACATCTAAGACTTGAAAGAGAACCAATAATGAACTAATATTTAAAGACTACACGGAGATCTCATTTTGAACTAGACTGTTCTTTACCTGTAAAAATCTATCTACAGGATTATGTAATTTAACTGTAATAAGCACTTGGTTTTGGAAACTATGTGATACATTTCATTCCTCAGTACATTAATCTTACCATACCTGACTAATACAAGAAACTTCCAGAGGAAACTATATGATTACAATTGCTGTAAAATAAACAATATCCATATTTATTACAATTCTGTAGAAATAACATCATTCAGCAGTACTAGCCCTGTAATAAGCCCACCCATCTTTAGGAATAACATCAATACGTAAAACTTAGCCCTGACAAATAAGCTCATAAAGAGCTAATATATACTGTTGTTGCCCTCTAAGCCTTGTTGCAGGATAAAAACAATATGTAGATTATTTCGTGAAGCAATTTATTAATTTCCAATTTTTATCTTTTCCCAATGCAATTTTGCTTGAATTATTTATGAAATATTCAAACTCATAAGAATCGATGATGCGTAATCTTTAACTAAACATCACTTAATATGTGCTGACATCATGACCTAGTAAATATGCCAGGATAGAAATGGTCATCCACTTACATACTGTCATAAAGATGATTACTGCCAACATAATTATTAACTGTTTCATCAGTGGTAAAAAAAACCTTTCCTGTTCTGGCTTAAATGGTAATTGATATTGTGATCTCATCTCTGACAACATAATATTCAGCTACTAATTTTAGTTCATACCCAGAAATTTCATGAAGTCATGTATTATTCAAACTTCAAAGAACAATCAGGCAAACAAAAAGTTTAAAAAATACAATGGTGACAGAAAATAACAACATTTTGCTGTCTTCCCCTGGGGAAGCTTTCATCATGCCAACTTGGTAACAGAGTCTAGTTGTCATGGTGGTGTCAATCTCCTGTGCCTGATAGACTGATAGACGAGATGATACACATCACTGCCTGCGAAGTAATCAATTTCTCCTGCTTTGTTAAATTCCAGCACTTCATTAATAGTAATGAAAGCATGTTTATATTCACTGGGTAAATTTATTATGATTCCATGAATTTCCAACAATGCTAAAATGTATTTCAATTAGCATTCTATTTTTTTTAAAATTATTTTCACTTTCTCCATAGAAACATTGATGAGGTATGGAAATCAGCCCAGTCTTCATTTCAATAATACACAGATCCAAACACAACCATGTACTGTAGACATGGAGCATATCTCAATCCTCATCTCAATAAAACACAGATCCAAACACAACCATGTACTGTAGACATGGAGCATATCTCAATCCTCAATAAAACACAGATCCAAACACAACCATGTACTGTAGACATGGAGCATATCTCAATCCTCAATAAAACACAGATCCAAACACAACCATGTACTGTAGACATGGAGCATATCTCAATCCTCAATAAAACACAGATCCAAACACAACCCCATACTGTAGACATGGAGCATATCTCAATCCTCAATAAAACACAGATCCAAACACAACCCTTTACTGTAGACATGGAGCATATCTCAATCCTCAATAAAACACAGATCCAAACACAACCCCATACTGTAGACATGGAGCATATCTCAATCCTCATCTCAATAAAACACAGATCCAAATACAACCCTGTACTGTAGACATGGAGCATATCTCAATCCTCAATAAAACACAGATCC